TTGGGGGACTGTTTTTGTAGGCGGATAAGGGAATATTGAATAAGGCCTTTTTCAGTGTCCTGTGGTCTGCAAGGGCTTTTAATTTAAAATAGTGTACTGGAGTGAAATTCTCTTTGTGATGAAATTCTCTGGGCTTCTTCATTTTATTCTGGATTTGGTTGTATAGGGCTTGAAGCACCCTGTGTGAGTGCTGGTGGCTATTTTCATGTTGACCTATACCTCTTCTTCCTGTGTAATTCTTGGCTGTAGCCATTTGTATGTTTAAATGGGATATCTTCTTTTRAATCTACCTGGCAAACTTCAATTTGTCTTTTAAGTCTTAGCTCCAGTGTATCCAGCAGAATAGGTCATTCATGACAACTCTGCCCAAAGCTGTTAGGTAACCTTCTCCTACCTCTTTGTATTAACATTGATTTATAATTATGTTTTTCGTTTTTAGACTGAACTCTTTAAAGGGAAGTGCTTGATTTATTCATCCCTGAGTTYAGTGCTTAGGATAGTACCTGTGACTTACTAAGCACACAGTACATATTTAAATGAATTTACTGAAAGGTCTAAACATGTTAGTAAGATGTGACTCCATAAAAACTGCATTAATAATGAGAGTTCAAATATAGAGAAAAATAGAGTAATACAAAGATAGGTTCGCTAATTTTTTTTTTTTTAGAAAGAGTGAGAGAGAATTTTTTAATATTTATTTTTTAGTTTTCGGCGGACACACATCTTTGTTTGTATGTGGTGCTGAGGATCGAACCCGGGCCACACTGATGCCAGGCGAGCGCGCTACYGCTTGAGCCACATCCCCAGCCCACTAATTAATTTTTTGCAATATTTACTTTGTTACTTTTGAATATATGCATGGTTTTTATTATTGCTGAATCCTTCAAGAGGAAATAGCATACCTAATGTCCCTTTGCTCCTAACTACTTTTAAGAACAAGGAATTCTCTTGGGGTAATGGCCCTGTAATTTATCAAATTCAGGAATCTAACATTGATATGGTACTGTTATGTAATGGACACTTCATATTCAAATCCACTAATTACTCATTTTGATCCTTTAAAAGTTTCCACCCTCTCACCCATCCAAGATCCTACTTAGGTTCATTTATTACATTTGCATTTAATTGATTTATTTATCTCTTCAGTTTCCTTTAATCTGAAGTAGTGCCTTAGTCTTCCTTCTGTACTGTTTTTTAAATTAATGATGTATTCAGTTAGATAGTATTTGTAACACAAAGATCACAGAACTCTGCCCACAAAGGATTTTGTATTACACAGTTTACTTTTAGTTTAGTTTCTAATTATTATACAGCTTTACATGACTAGTTGTGTATAATTATTTCTGATAACTCAAAGGGAATTAAAGAGGCAAACTGGAGCTTCTGGGTATTTGAATAAACAGAGTTTCCTGAAGAATGGCATACTTTCTCCCATACCTCACTAGATGCATCTCTTCAGCTGTATCCTTAATAACAAGCTGGTAAATATATTAAAAAGAAAAATTAAGAACCATARATGAGGTATTTTTAAAACTGTTTTTGTTTTGAAGCTAAAATACCTGAACTACACTAATGTTAACAGATAAATCATTTTTATATATGCATATTCTTGTGAAACCACCAGTGGTGCACCACAGAGGAGTCTTTCCTGACCCTTCCCATTCAATACCCACTTATTCCTTACTTCCTGAAGACTCACTGTTTTGACTTCTACATTGCTTCCTCTTAAACTTCATACAGATAGAATTTTGCAGTAGGTACTTGTTTTAGTCACTTTTTTTTGGTTGTTGTTGTTGTTGTTGTTGCTGTGACTAAAAAATCTGACCAGAACAATTGTAGAGGAGAGTTTATTTAGGGGCTCATGGTTTCAGAGGTCCATTCTTTGGGGCTCCAGTTGAGGCAGGATATCATGGCAGAAGAGCATGGCAGYGCGGAAAGAGAATGGCAGATGGAAGTAGCTAACATGATCAGAAAGCAGAGAGAGTCCACTGACCAGGTACAAAATATATACCCCCAAAGCCACACCCCAGTGCCCACCTTCTCCAACCAACCATGGTTACCACTAAGTTAATCTCTATCAGGGGATTAATTCACTGTTTGGGCCAAGACTGTCAAAACCCAATCATTTCTCCTCTGAAATGGGGACAGCTCACATCTAAACCATAACAGTATTTTGTGTTTGACTTCTTCAGCTCAATTTAATTCCAAGAGATCTCCCTTTGTTGCATGTATTTAGTACTTGCTTCTTTTTATTGTTCTATGTATTCCAATGTACATATATATCACAGTTCTTTGTTTTATGCATTGCATTGWTTTCAGTTTTTGCTACTATAAATAGAACTGTTGTAGACCTGGGTGCTGTGGCATATGCCTGTAATCTCAGCAGCTCTGGAGGATGAGGCAGGAGGATTATAGGTTTGAGGCCAGCCTTAGCAATTTAACAAGACCCTGTCTCAAAATAAAACAAAAAGGGCCAAGGATGTATCTCAGTGTTAGGTGCCCCTGAGTATCATCCTCARTAATCCCCCACTCCCCACAATAAATGCTGTGACATTCATTGTATAACATTGTTATACATGTCCTTTAATGGAAATAAATCCGTATTTCTTTAAGACTGGATTTGCTGAGTCACGGAGAGGCTGCTATTACTAGTTTTCTAAGTGGTTGTACCAATTTACATTCCTAACAGCAATGTAGGAGAATTCTAGTTGTGCTGCATTCTGCCCTATACATCAAATTATCAAATTAAATTTTTTGTAATGGTGTGTAACATTATGGCTTTAATTTGCATTTTCCTGAAGTTTAAGGATATTGAATGCCTTTTCATGTTCTTAATCKTTTGATTGTCTCATTCATTAAGTACCCATCTATGTGCTACCCATTTCTTTAATGACAGATTTCTTGTCTTCTTGTTATATACAGATTTTTAATATATTCTGAATGTGAGTGTCTTGTAAGTGCCTTCTGGTTTATATTTTCCCTATTGATTCTCTTAATGGTGTATCATTGATGAAAAGAAACAGTTTCATGATCATTAACATGTAAACTCCTAGGTAACTAGCCTTGTTATAAACGTAAATAATTTCATGATCATAGACGTGTAAACTTTTAGGTAAACTAGTCTTGTTGTAATTAGAATCCATAAAGATTAATTTTAATRAGTTTTGTTTTGTTGGTGTTGGGAGTTTGACCCCAGAGCCTTGAGCATACCCTCTGATACTCATCTGTTCCCCTAACCCCATCAAAACATTTTTAAGCTCTGTCTTAAGCAATAGATTAAACCTTAATTTCAAAGTAAAGGAAAAAACCAAAGCATCTGGTTGTTCTTTTGCTCTAATGGAAATGCTCAGACAGCATGCATGAGTCATGAAACAAATCCACATAATTTACTGTTTGCTTACATTGTTTTAAGTGTGTAAATGTTAAAACTTGGGGAAGTGAGAAACAACGAAACCTCTAACACCAAGCCTTTAGAATTTTATGCTGGGAAAGGTATATTGTTTTAATATGTTTGAACTTCAGCAATAAGCTCTACATTAGACTGTTTCTATATTTACCTGCAATGTCAGTGTTACATATAGAGAAACAGTASAAAACAATTTTTTAACATATACTACTTCTGAATCTAGTCTTATTTCTGGAAGTAGTAAATACAAATAATCTCATTTTCTGAATTTTTCTTTGAGATAAATATATTTTAATGGACTAGATGTCTAAAAGCTAAAATTGAAAATTTCATCCAAATTTATTATTCCTAGGTCTTTACTAAAGGATAGTTTTGAAGTGAGCGTATTCATCGAGTTCTTAAAAAATTACAAAAGGTATAACGTACTTATGAGTATACATAAATAATGATACAAATGGTTTGGGTGTTGGAGAGTTTAATTGGAAGTCCCAGACCACACATTTCTGAGAGAAGTATAGATGTGCCCTTACTGAGGAAAGTAGAAAGAATACACGTGACTAATCAGACAAAGGAAAAAGACAAAAGGATTGGATAGAAGTAGCTCTTTCATAACTATACTTTGAAAAAAGAGGCCTGTGCTGGTGTTTAGTCTGTCTCTCTGATTTGTTAGGAGGTGTTAAAACTATAGAGAAGAGGAAGAGCTCTGTCATCAAAGATTCACTGTCGTTTCTAACCCCTGAGAATGCACAAGKCCCCCTGTAGATTTTGGAGGTCAAATGGGGAAAAACTTTTTCAGTAATGTGGATGTTAATAAATGGAGACTTAAGGCTAGAATAAAGTAATGATTTTTTATTTTAAACCAAATTACAGTATGTTAACAGACAGTATGACTTCCATCTCTGGTTAAAGGAAAATGAAAGGTTTAGATGTAACATTAATTCTCGAGATTAATTCCCATTCCCCTGGTTTTTCTTTTTCCTACTCCCTCAGCCTTTGAGGCATAGTCAAGGCAAGGCAGTTTTAGAACCATTAATTCAGTTCCTTTTATTTCTTCCCTCTTTCTCTTGTTAGTTACCATGTAGGTCTTTCCACCTTCCCCAGTATGAGTTCATTTATACTTCTCACGGTTCTTTTCACTTCTTTTGCATAAATGCTATCTCATCCCCAATACCAGGTATACATGCATACAAATGTGAATGTAACTTTACCTTTGGAAACTGTTTGTTTAATGAGCTTCTATCACAGTTCAACTTTCATGTTTGAAAAATAGTTGTATTTGTAGCTTGATATGTGTTCAAATTTTTGGACTTTGTAAATAAAATCTATATGTGGTCTCYAGTAGGTATTTTTTACAGATTGAAAGTCATTGATGTATTCTAACATCTGCCTTCATTTAATAGATTAAGAAAGTAAATAGATTTTTTCCATAATCAGTTTATTAGAGGCAGAGCTAGAACTAGACTTGTAATCTTCTCTCTTTAGTTTTTTCATTTTAATTACCTGGATATTTCTGAATTTTTGTCTTTGAAATAAATTTTGATGAACTAGAGTCATAACAGTTAAAATTGAACATTTCATCCAAATTTATTTCTAGGTCTTTGAAGAAACTGGTTTTGATATCAAAGACTATATTTGTAAGGATGATTACATTGAACTTCGAATCAATGACCAACTTGCTCGTTTGTACATCATTCCAGGAATTCCAAAAGACACTAAATTTAACCCAAAAACTAGAAGAGAAATTCGGGTATGTAACAGTTGAGAATATTTGCATGTTGCTGAACAGTATCCTATTGAATAATGTGAGAAATTCCTTTTAGTAAGTCATTGATAATAATTAACTAAATGAATTTTTTTTTTTTTTTTTTGGCTTTCAGAATATTGAGTGGTTCTCCATTGAGAAATTGCCCTGTCATAGAAATGATATGACCCCCAAATCCAAACTTGGCTTGGCACCTAACAAATTTTTTATGGCCATTCCCTTTATCAGGTTTGTTCGTATGTGTTGAAATATAAAACCAATCTTCATGATTCTGATATTTAACATTTTAAAAGTGAAATTTTTAATGTTTCCATAGACCATTAAGGGACTGGCTTTCTCGAAGATTTGGGGATTCCTCAGATAGTGATAATGGATTTTCCTCTGCTGGTAGCACACCCGCTAAACCCACTGTGGAAAAATTGAGGTAAAGAAATATGTTTATGAAATTCATGAGAGTTTGTAGTACAGTAGCATTTTGATTCTAAAGTTTGTAGARGTATAAGATTCCTTCTTACAGGTACTATTTTGTTACTGATCTCATCAATAATAGAAGATTTTTAAAGCCTTTTGTTGTTGTAGTTGGACACAATACCTTTATTTTATTTATTTATACTTTTAGGTGGTGCTGAGGATCAGACTTGTATGTGCTAGGCAAGTGCTCTACAGCTGAGCCACAATCCCACCCCTTAAAGCATTTTTGATGAGATGAAAAAGGTTAATTGAAGTTGGAAAGTAGCTTTAGGCACATTTTTAAATGGAACACCCAAGAGGATACCAGCTTTTTAGATGGACAGATGTAACACTAGGAAAAGAAAAAAAAGTGTATGTTTATGGTATGTTCATGTTCTACTTTAGAAATGAGTTTCTGAAGATGGTTGAATGGGGTTATGTTGAGGTCTGTTTTTGTATAGGGAGATGGGATGCTGATGAATAGATTCAAGGATAGAAATGAGACTTGGGCTTCCTTTTCTTTTCTTTCTTTCTTTTTTTTTTAACATCTTTCTTAGCATCAATTATGTATTATTAAGAGAGACTATTACATGGATGTGAACCATGAAGAGTATTTACTTGCTTGTAACTTAATTGCATCCAGATCACAATCATAGTCAATTGGGAGTAACTTGCTTAAATAGGGATATATTTTTGCAATCAAATTGTCATAACTTTGCCTTTGTTAAATTCAGAGGGAGTCAATTTTTGCTTTTTCTGTAATCTGCATGTACTGATTTATTTTTGTAGAAGTTCAAAAATTAAAAAATAGGAGTAAACCACATCTGTAGTTAGTATTTTTTTCAAATATGTAGCACTTCATTTCAGCTGGGTTTTATGAGGACAAGAGCTTGGACCAAATGCTTTAAGAATTGTTTCTGCCTTTCAGAGTCTATGATTGTAACTACCAAATTAAATTCCACTGGAAATAAGTAAAATTGTGGAAGGAATAAGAACGCAGTTGGTATTAAAAGGAAATAAAGAAATTACTAAAAAAGTTATGAAATGTTACGTTACAGTGTTTCTTTAAAAATGTGTGTATGTCATCTTTGGGAGAATCTTTTAGGGTTTGTGTTCTTGTTGAGGGGGTAGAGACGATAAAGCAATCTGTAACCAAATAGAGGTTGCATATGGAAGTGGTAATGCTGATTAATTAGCATGCTGATTAATGCCTATGATGATGTGTTGGAGGAAATGTCTCAATTTTATCTAAATAAAGGATAGAAACACTGAGGTTTTATTGTAGGTCTTAAGTGGAAAAGGAGTAGAATATTTAAGTATTATTCTGAAGTAATCTTACTGTGATGTGGTTTTGGGCATCAGTGACTATATATGTCTTATAATAATATTTTTTATCTGATATTGCAAACTGTTATTTCAGGAATCAGTTTTTTTTTTTTTTTGTATAATTTGACATGGGATCTTAATTTAATTTACTCATCCTTTGTCTTATGCCCCTGAATTTTTTGCTTTAGAAAATARCTTTATTTCTCAGATCTTCTTGTATCATGGGTGAAGTTCATAACTGACCTGTGTGAATAAAATTCCATACTTGAAGCCTTCTAGTAAGAATCTGAATTGTCTGTTCTACTATTAGAGGAAAAAGTTCATGTATAGTTCTTTAACTTACTTTGTTTCAACTAAATTTAGAAAGAATTACTTCATATTTTAAAGAATATAATACTTATAGGAAGGAGATGGTATGGATAATTAGAAAAATCTGGGATGAAAAACAATAGGTTATAATTTGTTCAAGAAAGTTTTTGAACAACAACATGCATCTCTTTAGGGGCAGGGCATAAAATAATAGGCAAACAGACAAGAATCTTTACCCTCCTCAAGCTTATATTTTGCTGGGGAGAGATACACAATAAATAAGAAAATGAAATATGTAGTCTGTAAGTCAGATTGTCAAGGTGTTAAAAAATTATAAATAAAATTTTATCATCTGATTTTTATTTTTTAAATCTTGGTGTAGTCGAACCAAATTCCGCCACAGTCAGCARTTGTTTCCTGAAGGTTCTCCTGGCGACCAGTGGGTAAAACACAGACAGCCACTGCAGCAAAAGCCATACAATAGCCATTCTGAAATGTCTGACCTTTTAAAAGCAAAGGTGAGTGATATACATTTAAAATTTTTGAGTAATTTACATCATTTGGCATTGAAGTTATTCTTTTTTATTTCTAATTCTAATTTGTTATATATGACAGCAGAATGCATTACAATTCATTATACATAGAGCACAATTTTTCATATCTCTGGTTTTWTAGAAAGTATACTCAAACCATTTGTGTCTTCATACATATACTTAGGGTAATGATACCCATCTCATTCCACCATCTTTTTTACCCTTGTGCCCCCTCCCTTCCCCTCTCACCCTTTTGCTCTATCTAGGATTCCTCTAATCCTCCCTAAGCTCCCCCTCCCAACCCCATTATGAATCAGCCTCCTTATATCAGAGAAAACATTCGGTGTTTGTTTTTTTTTGGGGGGGATTGGTCAACTCCACTTAGCATTATATTCTCCAACTTCATCCATTTACCTGTAAATGCCATGATTTTATTCTCTTTTTTATTGCTGAGTAATATTCCATTGTGTATATATGCCACATTTTTTTTAATCCATTCGTCTATTGTGGGGAGCCAGTCTCACAAGTGACTGGGCAACTCCCGGTTTGGGTCTGAGGCGTTCTGACTGTGTCGGAACTTTCCCGGCCCTCTCCTAATGAGAGAATCCGTCCGTGTGGGGGTGTGACTGACCACTGACCCTGGGGGCTCAATCATTGACCCTGACCTTGGAGTGCGGCCCCCCCTCAACCTTCATTGGATGGTTCTCCCCTGAATTTCTTGTTCCCCAATAAAAGGCTACTCCCTGGCGTGCTCGCTCTCTCTGTCTCCTGCTAGCCCTGGGTAATCCTTGCTGCCCTACTGGTGGTTCGAGGTGGGAGCCAGAGAGGGGAGCCGTCTTGGACCTGGTCATAGAATAAGGTAACTGAGTCTGTGTGTTTTATTTCGATCTCACTAGCTAAATTTTATGCCAAGAACCTCATTAATGAAACCATTGCGCTGGCCGCATGGTAGAGTCTATTGAGGGGCATCTAGCTCGGTTCCACAGTTCAGCTACTGTGAATTGTGCTTGCTATAAACAATGATGTGGCTGTGTCCTTGTAGTATGCTGTTTTTAAGTCCTTTGGGTATAGACCGAGGAGAGGGATAGCTGAGTCAAATGGTGGTTCCATTCCCAATTTTCCAAGAAATCTCCATACTGCTTTCCATATTGGCTGTACCAGTTTGCAGTCCCACCAGCAGTGTATGAGTGTACCTTTTTCCCCACATCCTCGCCAACACTTATTGTTATTTGTATGCATAATAGCTGCCATTCTGACTGGAGTGAGATGAAATCTTAGAGTAGTTTTGATTTGCATTTCTCTAATTGCTAGATATGTTGAACATTTTTTTCATATATTTGTCAATTGATTGTATATCCTCTTCTGAGAGGTGTCTGTTCAGTTCCTTGGCCCATTTAATGATTAGGTTATTTGTTGTTTTGGTGCTTAGCTTTTTGAGTYCTTTATATACCCTAGAGATTAGTGCTCTATCTGTGTGAGTGGCAAAAATTTGCTCCTAAGATGTAGGCTTTCCTCCAACACATCATCATAGGCATTAATCAGCGTGCTAATTAATCAGCATTACCACTTCCATATGCCACCTGTATTTGGTTACAGATTGCTTTATCGTCTCTACCCCCTCAACAAGAACACAAACCCTAAAAGATTTTTCTGAGAAGAAGCTTTTGAGTTTGAATCTACCCCATTTATTGATTCTTGATTTTAATTCTTGTGCTATAAGAGTCTTATTAAGGAAGTTGGGGCCTAATCCAACATAATGGAGATTTGGGCCTACTTTTTCTTCTGATAGGCACAGTGTCTCTTGTTGAATTCCTAGGTCCTTAATCCACTTTGAGTTTTGTGCCTGGTGAGAGAGGGGGGTTTAATTTCATTTTGTTGCATATGGATTTCCAGTTTTCCCAGCACCGTTTATTGAAGAYGTTATCTTTTCTCTGATGAATGTTTTTGGCACATTTGTCTAATATAAGATAACTGTAGTTATGTGGGTTAGTCTCTGTGTCCTCTGTTCTGTACTATTGATCTATCAGTCTATTTTGGTGCCAATAACTATTTCTCTATAGTATAGTTTAACGTCTGATATAGTGAGGCCACCTGCTTCACCCTTCTTGCTAGGGATTGCTTTAGCTATTCTGGGTCTCTTATCAGATGGTATTTTGTTTACATTGGGAATCTGTTAATGTTGTCCTTCTGCTCAAAGGAGAGGTATTAGAACCCTGCAGGGGCATTATAAGCCTATAGGGTAAAAACAGCAACGCCTTGAATCCACAGAGCTAGAAAGGAAGGCACATGAGCAACATGAAAAGACAAGGGAAGAAAGTGCCCCAAGCACATCAGGATACCACATTATTAGAATCCATGGCCAGCACAGCAGATGAAATGACAGAGAAGGGGTTCAGGATGTATATAATTAAAATGTTCTATGAATTAAAAGTCGATACAAGAGAGCAAATACAGGCAGCAAAAGATTACTTCAGTAGGGAGATAGATGTTCTAAAGAAAAACCAAACAAAATCCTTGAAATGAAAGGAACAATAAACCAAATTTAAAGTTGAATTAAAAGTATCATCAACAGATTAGACCATTTGGAAGACRGGACCTCAGACAATGAAGACAAAATATATACTCTTGTAAAAAAAGTAGACCACACAGTGAAAAATGTTAAGAAACCATGAGCAGAACATTCAAGAAACATGGGATAGCATAAAAAGACCAAATTTAAGAGTTATAGAGGAAGGCTTAGAGTCTAAAACCAAAGGAATGAGCAATCTCTTCAACAAAATAATATCAGAAAATTTTCCAAACATGAAGAACAAATTGGAAAACCAAATTCAAGAGGCTTATAGGACACCAAAAGTGCAAAATCACAACAGATCCACACCAAGGCACATTATAATGAAAATGCCTAGTATACAGAATAAGGAGAGAATATTAAAAGCCACAAGAGAAAGGAATCAGATTACATATAGGGGGAAACCAATTAGGTTATGTGCAGACTTTTCAACCCAGACCCTAAGAACTAGAAGATCCTGAAACAAATATATAGAGAGCCCTTTAAGAAAATGGATGCCAACCAAGAATCTTGTATCCAGCAAAATTAAGCTTTAGGTTTGATGATGAAGTAAAACCTTCCATGRTAAACAAACGTCAAAAGAATTTACAGTTTTAGATAACCTGCACTACAGGACATCCTTAGCAAAATATTCTATGAAGAGGAAATGAAAAACAACAATGAAATTATTCTTAGTTGACTAATTAATGATATATTATAGAGCTCTGAATTGTCGAGCAAAGACTTTGATGTGTCTGACTTGTGATTTGAAGCAGGGYGGACATTCCTTATCCTTCACAACTTTGTTATAAATTCAGCTTGGCAGGTGGCACATGCCTGTAATCCCAGCAATTTGGGAGACTGAAGCAGGAGGATTGTAAGTTCAAAGCCAACTTTAGCGACTTAGCGGTGCTCTAAGCAACTTAGACCCTGTCTCAAAATAAAAAATTAAAAATGGGCTGGGGATATGACTCAGTGGTTAAACACCCCTGGGTTTAATCCCCAGTACCAAAAAAGAAAAAAAAATCTGTATAGCAAATAATAGGAACTAATACCTGATTTTAGTATATGTACTGTTAGTTAAAGGCTCATTCAAAAATAAAACAACAAATGATGGCTGCCAAGTTAAAGTAAATGGATCTATTGACTTTTTTTCCAAGAAAAATGCAACATTGTATTGTAAAATTTCATTTTTGCTCTTGATTAGCAAAAATGGCTTATGATGATACCAGAGTTTTATCCATTCATGCTTAGTGGACACTTTGGTTGTTGCTACTTTATTCCTTGTGTTCTTGAGTATGTACTTGRAAATGATGTTTTCTAATGTTTTATACTTGCTTCTAGATGTGAGAGTTGTGTTTTATATCCTTACACGTGGTATTATCTTTTTCATTTATTTATTTTTTTGGTATTGAGAATTGAGGTACTTAACAACTGAGCCACATCCCAGCCCTTTTTATATTTTATTTAGAGATGGRGTCTCAACTGAGTTGCTAAGTGCCCAGCTAAGTTGCTGAGGCTGGTTTTGAACTTTTGATCCTCCTTCCTCAGCCTCCTGAGCCACTGGGATCACAGGCATGTGACACTGTGCCTGGCTATCTTTTTTATTTTAAACATTCATTAGGGTGCCAACCTTATTATCATTTTAAAAAATACAGTTTGTCAAAATTTAAAAACTTTTGTGCATCATAAGACATTATTGAAACAGTGAAAAGACAGCCTGCAAAATGGGAAAAAATGTTCGCAGATCATGCGTTTGAAAGAAATTAATTTCCAGAATATGTAAACAACTCAACAACAAAATACCAACCCTATTAAAATGTGGGCAAGTAGGGTTGGGGCTGGAGCTCAGTGGTAGCGCACTTGCCTGACATGTGTGAGGCACTGGGTTTGATTCTCAGCACCTTCTCAGCACCACATATAAGTAAATAAAATAAAGGTCTATCAACAACAACAAAAATATGGGTAAGTGACTTAAATAGACACTTCTCAGAAGAAGATATTCCAATGGCCAATAAGTGCAAAAAAGATGTTTGCAACATTGTTATTAGGGAAATAACTGCAAATCAAAGCACAGTGAAATACCACTTATGTATTAGGGTGCCAGTAAGGATGATAACACCAACAAAATGGAAAATAACAACTATTGATGAAAATGTGGAGAATTGGAATGCTTGTATACTCCTGTGGAATATATGGAGAAYAGTACTGATGTTTTCTCTAAAAGTCTAAAGTTTAACTCAGTAATTTCACACCTAAGTATATATTCAGAGGAATCAAAAGCAGGTACTTAAAAGATTATCATCCAACAGTGCTTACTTATTAGAAATATAAAGTAGATTTTTCAGGGTGACWGATCACATCCACTACTGTTCTAAATTCTGTTGCCAGATCCCATTAGCGTTCCTTTCACAGAGCGGTCCCCTTTAATAGTCATGTAGCGTTTTCAAAACCTGTTCCTCCATCTTTTTTCTCTTATTTATTTATTTGTCTGTTTATTTGTTTATTTATTTATGGTGGTGGTGGTGGTGGTGGTGGTGGTAGTAAGGGTGTTGTTGGAGACTTAACCCAGGGCCTCATGCATTCTGACTACACTGTCTCACTTAGTTGTACCCCTAGCTTCTATTTATGCATTATAAAATCTGTTAAGCAGAAGTGGACAAGGCAAGAGATGTGGAAAGATTCCCAAGGCCCATCCTATTTGCTCTTTTATACCTTTAGTGGAATTTTTATTTGTAAAGAACTATCTTTTGTAAGGAAATACGTTGATATGATGATTTATGAAATTTTTAATTCTATCTACCTTCAAMCATTCATAGAAGTATATTTTGTGTTCTTACGTTATATAATAAATTTACATTTTATTTCATTTTATTGGGAAAATAGAGTATTAGGGGAAATGGCAGAAAACAGTATCAAGATTCACCTAATCAGAAGAAAAGAACAAACGGTGTCCATAGCCAGCCACCAAAGCAGCAGAATCCCTTGATGGTAAGAATTATGGCACAAATGCTAATATAGTTCATTCTGAGAGTGGAACAATGGGCATTGTCAATGCACATTAATGTTTTTGTGTTGTTATTTTGATACATTAGTAGGATTTTTATGGAAGTAAATTAGGCACTCTTGTATTCATGCACAAAAAATTTTATTTGGTTGCTCTTAATTATAGACTTAAACAACACTGATTCAGTTGTACGTATAATTTTTTGCTTTTTAGATGGTTATTTACATTGATTTTGGGGTTGGTGTACCAGGGATTGAAYTCAGGGGCAGTAACCACTGAGCCACACCCCCAGCCCTATTTTGTAATTATTTAGAGACAGGGTCTCACTGAGTTGCTTAACGCCTCTCCSTTGCTGAGGCTGACTTTGAACTTGTGATCCTCCTTTCTCGTCTTCCCGAGCTGCTGGAATTACTGGTGTGCGCCACCATGCCCGGATACATTGATTTTCATGCCATGAAAACAAGAGTTAGACTTCTCTAGAGCAATCCTTTGGCTGTTACTCTGTCTATATTTTCAAAAAGAATAATCTATTAATATTTTTTCAATTTAAACTTTTCAGTGGATCTTTAAAAGCATAAAAACTGTATGTACTTATGGATTACCATGTGATGTATTCATACATGTATACACAAAACAAATGTTCAAATCAGGTTAAACAAATCTCTCTCTCAAACATCTGTCTGCTTTTCTTCATAGTGAAAAAACACTCCTTCCAACACACACACATATATATATATGTAAGTTGTATTTGGACACAATATTTTATTTATTTTTTGTGGTGCTGAGGATTGAACCCAGCGCCTCGCACATGTTAGGTGAGCGTTCTRCYACTGAGCCCCAGCCCCTCCTTCCAACTTTTTGAAATATATTTTATATTATCAATATCTATGGGCTTAGTCCTGTCTAGTTGTATCCATTGATCAACTTTTTTGCATCCCTCTGTTCCCCCATTACTCTCCCCAGCCTCCAACSAGTCTACTCTCAACTTCTTTTTGTGAAATTAACTTTTTTGTAATTCATTAATTTATTGAAATTAAAAATTTGGTAGAACGTCAGTGTTTTTTTTTCCTTGTCCAAGTTGATAGTTTAGAAAATTAAACACTAATAGCTAGTGACATTGTCATTAAACTAGATCTAAATACAAATAACTGAACATTTTAAGGCATTACCTTTCATTCTTAATTTGTGCTTCAGAAGGTAATTAATAATGTCCTTGCTTATTTCTTTTGTAAATCCTAATGTTATTGTGCTTGATTTTTCTTTTTGTAGTTTTACCTGTTTTTCATTTCTTGAGGAAAGTGGATAATAATAGTAATCCAAATTTTTAGCAAAAAAAAATTTTCCTGAATTCCTTGAGTGTAATTTATTTGACTTGGGGTGTAATGACTCCTCCAGTAAAGATAAAGATACATTAAAGACCAGTTTAGTATCAAAACTTTTTACTCTCTTAGGGCTGGGGATGTATCTCCATGGTAGAGTGCTTGCCTGCATGTACAAGGTCCTGGGTTCAACCCCTCGTACTGCAAAATACAAAAACAAACAAACAAAAAAAGAAACAAGTCATTTGCTCTCTTATTTAACTGTAGTCTGATTAAAAAAAAAAAATACTGGAAAGAACAAAATAATCTTAATTGATGATCAGAATACTTCTAATAAAATTCAACATCTAACAAAAGCTAGGCGAGTATTTCTTAATGATAATATTGTACAACTCAAAGTATAAATTTAACTATCAGTCAAAAATTTTTACTGGCTTTTCTTTTTGAAAATGTCACAAAGGACTCAAATTTGTCTGGAAAATTTGAATAGGTTTAAAAGTTTTAGAAAAGAGAACAAGTATATGAACAGTTTGTAAGAGAAGAAATAAAAATAACTAATACACATAAGAAAAGTGTTAAGTGTTCAAAGAGGAGTTTTACCTATATCAAAAGCCTTATCTCATTTCCTTAGAAGGGGAATTTAAAGAAGAATTTCATAATAATGAAAATATGGAACAAGTACGAGATCTAAGAAGATGATATTAACTGCTGTATTGTAGATAGATGCAGTAGACTATCATTGAATCAGTAAAATCTAAATATGTACTTATAGAAAAAAGATTTTGTTCATAATGTGACCTTTTTAACATTAAAAAAGTTTTTGTAGTTGTAGATGGACAGTTAAATAAACAAAAATATTTAGGCTTGGGGGGCGGGGGGCAGGGAGRTGGGGGGAGAAGCCACTGAGGGCTGAGGTGTAGATCAGTGCCAAAGCACATGCTGTTATATGCAAAATCCTGGGTTTAATCTCCAGTTCCAATAAAGAAAAGACCCCCCCCCCCAAAAAAAAAACAGTGAGAGAATGGAAATGGTAATTGCATTCCTGTTTAATTCTCTCACTGAGAAATTTGGTAATATATCTCCTTATTTTTAAGAAGTGCAAATAATTGGAGACTGTTTTGTATATGTGAGTGTGTTTGTGGTTTTTGTTTTGTTTTGATAGAAATGTGAAAAGAGACTGCATCCACGAAAACTTCAGGATAACTTTGAAACAGGCAAGTTGTTTTCTGTTTTTTTCAAGAATCTGTCTTGTGGGGTTTGGTTTGTTTGCCTGATTTTTTTAAGGTTATATAATGAACTGATAGTTAAAACAGGAAGAATTGCATATATTCTTTAGAGAGTTCCTATATGTGGAGTTCTCTATAAACTGTCTAAAATGAATTAATTTAAATGATCAAGATGAAATTATTTGCCCTTTATACTATTTCTTTTGTGAATGTGAAGTCTCTGTGCTATGCCTGAGTATGTGAAAAATTGCTTATGTGTTAGTGGGAGAATAGAAAGGGCCAAGTTATTGTAAAGGTACAGAAACCTCATTGTCACATGTACATAAAAACACTAAGTTCACAAGCACATATATTCTCCCTTTTTTGAAGGTATTGAGGATCTTTTTAAGGTGGTTCCATGGATAGAACTGTCAYTTAGAAGTGCGGTGTGCTGTTTTTGAAGTGTTTGAAATTTGCTGTGCTATGCATTTATTCATCTTAATTTAAGGCTTTCTTAGGAAAGTTAAGAAATCAAAAATATTCTTTATCTTATTTTTATGTTAATGTCTATAATTTTAGCAAGATAAAAAGCTACTATTATGGAAAGTTAAGGTTAACTATGAAGTAGGATTTATCATCACATTTTAGTTTGATGTAGTCTCCTTTATTTTTGCTTTTGGTGTCCTGTCCAAAAAGTTAAGCTTTTTTTCTGTCTTTCCTTCCAGAAGTGCTACARTTTAGGGTTTTTACATTTAAGTCTTTAATCTGTTTCAAGTTCATTTTTATGTATGGCATAATAGATGGGTATGAATATATTAAACTTTGGGTTGTCTTGAGAAAGAAGTATAAAAGGATTCTTGTTTTGAGAATCCTGATATTTAGACCTCTTGCCTCAGCTTCTTAATGTCCTTTCCAGACCTGATTTCCTGGTTAGGTCCCTGCTATATTTAAAAACTAAACAGAACCAAATAACAGCAAAACCAAATAAATTGCAGTTTTGTTATACTCTGATTTTGGAAAAAAATTTTTTTCATTCAGTATATTGAAGACTGAGGAGTAACTTCTTTTTTTTTTTTTTTTTAGTTGTAGATGGACACAATACTTTTATTTTATTTATTTATATGTGGTGCTAAGGATCGAACCCAGGGCCTCACACATGCGAGGCAAGCGCTGTACCACTGAGCCCAGCCCTAGCCCCCTGAGTAACTTATTTTTCTGTAATTGTAATCTTTACAATTTTTCCATTGTAACTGATTTTCACATTGCTTCTATTTTGAGCTTTCGAGAAGCTCTTGATATTTTTGCACAGAATGCAAATGAATATAATAGGTAAAATTGTGTCCATTTTAAAAACAAGGGAATGCTGAGGGATTTTGAGAATTTATRTAGAAATAATCAATAATTAGAAATTCAGTTGACGAAAAGGAAATATTTTGGTGGTTCTGCTTAGGTTAGAGTGTGGAAAGATAAACATTCTGCATGAATTTCTTTGTAACAAAGGTAAAGGGTCATGTTTTCTTAACTGAGTTACTAAGATTATTTATTTTGTTTCCTAAGCAGATGCTGTATATGACCTGCCTTGTTCCAGTGAAGACCAGTTACTAGAACATGTTGAGGGACAGTCTGTGGCATGTAATGGACATTGCAAGTTCCCCTTTTCATCCAGAACTTTTTTGAGTTTCAAGTTTGACCATAATGCTATAATGAAAATCTTGGACCTTTGATAGCAACAGATGTATTATAGAAGTCCCAAGCCAAGATCAGAGACCTGTTGTATTTGAGCGGGTGTCTCCTCAAGCCTTACCTTTCTCAGGTGTTTTAAAGAAATGCAGGGAGGCAGTGTTTCTGAAAGGATTTTCTGTGCAGAAGAGTAGAAAGAAGCATGAGTTTGCACTGTAAATGCAGTTATAATCTTTTAAACAGTTTTACCTTTTCAGTGTTTGAAACAAGTGTAATTTTTTTTTGGAGGGCTTTTTTTTTTTTCCTGTGTGACTGGGTCTTATTTTTTCTGGTCAAGAAAATAGTGTTTGAGAAATCAATTAGCCAAGGTAATGGGAATGCTTCATCTACCCATTACAGTGATTGCAATAATCGTTTACTTGTATTGAAATTTTTAAAAAGAAACTTAAAATATCCAATTATTAAATGAACATAAAAGCTGAAATGTCTCAAATGTTGAGATTGCAAACCATCTGTCTTGGTGGCATTTTATTTCTCTGCTTCTGACCACTGAGGCTAATTCTCCTTTGCTTAGAGTTTTGTTGAAAGGAGTTATTCAGAGCCAACATCTTTAATATAATATTCATGTGCAAAATGAACTCATAGCACTTCATAAGGATAAAATTGGCAGCTTGGAGGAGGGATTCAGTTGAKGGGGAGTTGATGCTGTAATTTTGAGTTGTGCTGGATACATTCAATAAACCTGTGAGTGCTGGAGCAGAAAGCAAGGAGGCAAGGGCCCAGTAAGTATTTGGGATTATGTTTTTACCATCCTGCCTCCAACCCTTTACCATTGTATAATGATTTTGTTCGTGTGAAAATTTCTGATATATTCCAGTTGTGTAAATATGTATGGAAAAATTGACATTAGTTTTACATTGCATATCTGTGTGATCTATGGAAATTGATGTTATATTAGGTTCCAATTTTCAGTAGAACAAAGTGAAATGCTTTTATTGGCATGCTGAAACCCCTGAATGATGGGCATCAGAAGCAGACGGGGTGTCCAGTTTACCAAGAACAAATAAAGCATTTCACTAAGGCAAGATCAGAACATGAAAGTAACATACATAACTCACTCCTAGGAATGTATTTTGCTCCTTTCGGATTCTTAAATCCAAATAAGGATGGCAGTAGCCATTTTGAGAAGAATTTTCAGCTATAACTGAGGACAATCACCTGAGCTTTAAGTAGGAGATACATTTTGGCTGCATCTGACCTCATTGAAGATAATTCTTGGGGGTGGGGGTGAGGGACAGTTTGAGTCTATGTGTGTGTGTCTGTCATATGGGTTTTGATCTTTTTGTTTGTTTTACAAGTGGTATCCACAAAATATTTTCTGCTTATAAATGTTACTGTAGAAATCTTTATTCTGTATAGGTAGCCTATTTAATTAGAGGTTCTGCTTAACCTGTAGAACTTTTAAAAGGGGGGCTATTGTAAGGATTCACTTTGTATTATTACTTGGCTTTAGATTTTAAGTGACTTGATTTTAAAGGAGAAATTCTATTTATTAATGAAAGTGTCATTCTCGGTGCTAAGCAGGAGAATTCATGTTGCTAGCAGTGTTTTGAGAATTAGGTTATCCATAATCCTGCATCTTTTAATGTGACTAATTTGTGAATCCTTATGTGACCTTTGCTTTTTAATGCATTATATGATTGCATTTGGAAGCTCTTACTATTCTTTTCAGAAATACAGCTGCTTTGCTCGGGTCTCCTTGAGCCATATTTATAGTTGGTCCAAGCATTCCAGATTTCTGTTAAATCATTAAGGAAGTGAAAACAGTTTGCCTGGCAGATGAATCATTTTTCACTTGTTTACTATCATCTGGAAACCATTTAATTTTTAGTGGTTTTTTTTTTTTTTTGTGTGTGTGTGTGTGTGTCTTTTTTTTTTTTTTTTTTTAAATGAGTGCTTGATCAGTCCTTCTGGTGCCTATAGGTTTAGACTTTTTAGCTCTCAATACTAAAGCATAAGAGATCAGAGTTATCAGAAGTATGGACTTTGTGGTTGAGTATTTTCAGGAACCAACAAATTTTCTTTAATTACAATAGTTATTGCTGTTGTGCTGCTTCATTTAATGCACTGTGGAACAAACTTAAGGGAATGGTTGGTATGTGATTATGATAACTTAGGCTCTCCTGACAGTATAAGGTTAACATGTTAAATGATGAGTTAAATTTTATGTGAATGATGTGACTTAACTATGCAGAAAGTATTTAAGTTGGATGTACCTGTTTGTTGTACTTATTCCCTCTCATTGTTCAGGTTACCTTGAGACAGGCCATGCTTAGCACAGGACTAGATTTTCTCCTTTTGGGATACTTAAGTATGGTTTGAGGAAATCAGATGATAAAGTAGTATGCTGAATATGCAATAATTTCCTTCTATTGAGTGCTGCATTTTAAGAAGCTAAATGAGAAGAGTAGCTATGTTGGCTTCACTATGTTTCATGTATTTGAAAGATAGATAGGTCTTTGAATTCACTTTTTAAATGTTCCAACCACATGTTCCAGGGTGCAGTGCACTGTGAATTTTCATTTTTTAAAATTTTGTAGGTGCTTTTATGTGTAACTTCAATGATTTATAGTTTAGATTAATAATGTTAATACATGTTAAATGAATTGTTTTTATACTTAGTCATTGTAATCCAAAAGATAAGGGTATGGTTTACATGTTTTTCACAAGTTTTTATTAAGAAATAGCAAACAAATGGTTTTAGGATTTCAAATAGGCATGCCCTTTGGAGACATGAACATTTGGAGAGGTCTGAGAATCTAATAGTTCTGTTAGCATGGGTGGAATTTGATTAAAATTAAGCTTGTTTGAATTAGTACATAAAGGATAAAGTCTCCCAGTGCTATCAGAGACATTGCTTTTTTGAGCTTTGAATATCATTATTTTTGTAATATGTATCCATTAGTAAATACAAATAATGAAGATATATAGCAGAATTAATTTTATGCTATAAGATTAGGTTGTACTCTTTCTTTTTGAAGGCTTTAATAATTTGTAATGTCGAAAACTCCATACTAAGTGAATGACATTCATCCACTATAGGAATTTTTAAATTCCTTTCTACTACTCAACATATTGTGTTCTCTAGAAAAGTTAAGATCTGTGTGCATGTGTGCACTAAAATCATTTCATTTCCTATTCCCTCACTTATATAGTCTTTCTTAGGTTTCCTTTTTTTTGTTTTTTTAACTCCCAACATTTAGTTAACTTAGTAAGTAGAGCAAAATCAATTATAAAAAATTAGACTTTTTGCCAAGTTGTTCTTACTATGTTACTTCTATTTACTTTTTATTTTTGTACTGGTGGACCTTTCTGCTCAGAGATTGTTTTGATTAACATTTATTGTGTCTCTGTATTCTCTGAGGCAGTATTTTCTTTGTATATGAATCATAGCTATTCATTAACACTTCCTCATGATCTTGACTTTTTTCTAGCCTGGGGGAAGGGGTTCATGTGTATTGTAACTTTAAATTGATGATAAACAAGATAACCATTGTTTTGTTTGAAGGTATTTTTAACCTTTATGTACCTGTCTTAATGAAACAACAGTTTTGTTAACCTTAGTTGCTCATTTCTTCCCTCCTAAAACTTTAAAGTGCATTTGTATAGTTGCCAAAAATCCTAAAAATGAGCTTAAGATGGGCCTTCTCAGCATCTTTTTTCTTCTTAGAATTGAATTACTCTTGAAATCTGTCTGCCTGTCAGAAGGTGGCAGATTGCAAATGGGCAGTACAAGCTTTGTCCTGTGCTTTCAAAGTAGAATTCTGGATTGCACATTCTAAAATTGATAATAGATTAGTATTATAGAACAAAAGTGCCCTGAAAAGAAAAGAGAACTATAGTTGCTGGGCAGAGTATAAGGAGGACATTGTAGAATATATATCAATCCTTGAGTGCTATATGATGCATCAAGCCTAAGCATAGTCTAATATATATACACACACACACATATATATATATATATGGCCATTGCCAAGCATTTTCTAAACCCTGAATAAACTTATTTTTTCCGTAGTATGATTGCCAAGCAATCCAGTGAATCTAAAGGAATTTCTCTCACTTTAAAGACCAGTGTTTGGGAGTCTGGTCCTTTCTGTGCTGTATCATTGCAGAACTCCTGCCACTCTGAAGTGCACTGCTTTCTTATAGGAAAGGGAGGTAACCCAGAGTGCATACAGCTATAGCCAGCTGTATGTGGCAGCTATACATTTGTCCTGAATGCTTATTCATTTCTTATCAACTAGTTTCCTTGTGGCAAATAGCATTTATTATTGAAATAGTCCATAAGTAGTGAAAATAATGAAGTTAATTCTCTTAAGTGGGAGTAAAGTATTGACTTCTACCAGCAGAATTATTCAGACTTTAGCATGAAGTACAAAGAAGTGTAYAAAAAACAACTGTGATAAAATGTAAACGTTTTTTCTTGAAAAGTATTCATAATGGAATTTCTCATCTGGGTCCCAGATTAATGAAATCACCAGTCAAGAGATTACATTTACCTTGGGTCTTCTGTAATTAGCAGAGGGGATGATCTGTATATATTAGTAGCTTGAAAGCACAATCTAAAAGAAATTAACCTTCATAAGGTGTCTGCATTATCTGAGTAGTGTTGGTCAAGGGAACTCTGGGGAAAGAGATTGAATGCAGAAATGCAAGTGTGTGTGATTTTGTCTCCTCCTCATACTTTAGTCCTTTAGGCCAGGAAAACATTAAGGCTCTGAATATATGTTTGCTGCAGGTAGTTGTGTATTTTTCCTTATTGACTCGTCTGCTGGGTGCCATTTAAAAAAAAAAATTGTTTCTAATACTTGGTGTGGCTGGCCAGGAAGTCATTGAGGTCCACACATACACACATGCACACACACACACACACACACACACACACACACACACCTTCCCCATTTTTTCCTGGTGACTTTTCCCTTCATCTTTTTCTTTGTGCTATATCCCATTTGGCCACTGTGAGAACTTGCAAGTAGTGATTACATTTTGCCTTCTGAAGATGACTTCACTTTGACACTTGGGCCACAAGCAGATAGAAGTCTGTGAACACTTGTGCTCTTTTGAGTCTTGATGCATGTAGTTGACATATTGATTTGAGAGAAGAAAACTGTGGTTCCAARGTGAAATGAGCAGTATTTGCTGATTCTCGATCTTCAAGAGGTCCTAGGTAACATTCTTAGGATAGTAGACTTTTTGAGGTAAAGTGTAACATTTTAATTTAATCTACTTTGAATGAATTGAATCTAAGGTTCTAAAACAATCTAACAGCTACAAACTAGTGAAGACTTGGGGCACAATTCTACATTCTTCGTTATTTCTCAAGCTTTAAGGAATTAGCATATGCTTTTATGATATTTAGGAATAAACTATGGGTGGCAGAAAATGAAAGCAAATTAAGGTTCTCTACTGTGAATGAAATTTAGCAATGTAATATCTTTTCCTTAGTAGTTTGGTTGATTAGATGTGTTAATACTTTTGGAACATATGAGTGGCTGTGGACTTGCACTCTTCATGCACTGATAGAAAAGCACAAGACATATCTGCAAGAATTTCTTTGTGCATTTCACTACTGTCCTACAGCACTGCTGTCTCTGTGGTCCATTTTAGGTTTATGTTTGGATGTTGCACAAGTAACTGTTAATGTCAAATGCAAGTGTCCAAAGAAATGAGCCTTTAATTTTACTTTTTGTTTGAATTTAGGACAGGAGACGGCTAACCTGACTTATACTTTAAATAGTAACAACTTTCTCTTTAGTAACAATTAGGAAAGGACAATAAAATCACAAACCATTTTGGTTTATATATTTTCTCTCTTAAAATTATTTTTGAAGTTTATTAGCTTAAAATCTTTTTAAAAATCATCTCTGATAGGCATTGACTCATCCTTGTTCTGTGTATGATTTTMTCTCTTGGCTTTAATGAAACTTTAAAACAATCATTTCAGAAAGATTAATCAGATGGAATAATGTTCATGTATTAGCTAGCTTAAGTGAAATGTAAGACTGTCTTTCATCTAACCAAAATAAGGTGTATGGTTTCATTTGGGTGAGAAAGGGAATGAGAATTGCTTTTTTAAAAAAATACATACATACTGTGCCTGTTTCTAAAAYGAGATTTGAAGTGGCTTTTTACATTATGCTGTGAAGACTAGGTAATGTTCAAGGAAGATATATAGTCTTAACACATTTTCCTTGAGACTAAGTTTTAGTCTGAAAAAGGGAAAGATATTTATGCTGTGTCATGTTAAGCAAAATATTTGGAACCTACAAAAGCTGGTAGACATGGGGCTGGGGCTCAGCAGGAGAGCGCTCGCCTAACATGCGTGAGGCACTGGGTTCTATCCTCAGCACCACATAAAGTAAAATAAAGACATTGTGTCCACTATAACTAAAAAATAAATACTTTTTAAAAAGCTGGTAGACAAAAATTTGAAATGGTTTCATTRAAAACATGGTATTCAGTGAGAACTGGACTTTAGGGTAAATGTGCTAACTAAATAGATTTGTAAACTTTATTTCTTCAGTAATCATTATTGTCATGCAAAATGATTTAACATTTAATTTTCGCCTAAATTATAGCACTCACTGTTGTATTACTTTACCTTATAGGACATTTTAATGCTTGGAGAATGACTGTAAGTATATACCCTTTAAGTGATTCTGTCTATAGTAGTGATAAAGTTCTTACTGCTTTTTGATTAATTGTCAAAACWTTTAGGGAGAACTAAAAAGGAACCCAAAGTACCAGTGGGGTTTATCTTGGAGTTTAAAGAATTTGAAACATTTAGAGCAGATTTGTTTTTTCTGGATTTATTTTACTCTGAGGTTCAACAATAGCTTTGTTTTTTCC